TGTCACTGATGCTTCACAGACATCTATACATGCAAACGTGCTGCAAGTGCCACCTCTGTAGACAGTGCTCTACACTGGTGTCTTAGAAGATGAAAAAACAGACTGCAAGGTCTCTCTGCCCCAACTCCATAAGAGTGCATTTCCCTATCCCCTTACGTGGCAGCTCCAGCAGATGAGGCTACTTCTCAAGCTCCTGCGTGGTTCACAGTAGGGCTGCATCACCACACAGGCTCCCAGGCTCCAGGACAGAGCATCGGCTTTTGAAAAATACTTCTGGCCACAGAGAATTCCCTTTTGCCTCTAACAAGGCCTCTGTTCTTAACTTGGGAAAGCACACTGAACTCAAGCAGAGGGAAGCAGTGTGGACCAGTGGCTAGAGCACTGCCCTGTGGTGTAGCAACTCTCTCTTCTAGACTTAGCACTGGAAGAGGCTTGTGTGAACTTGGACGAGGCCTCTCTCCTCAGCTGTCCTGTTTGTAAACTGTGAATATTTAGACTGGAAATGGGTTTCCAATCTAGGGGCAGAAGCAGCCTACAAAACGGTTAATGCAACTAAGGTGAAGAAGCATGAGTCAAGCCCTTTGGAACATAAGCTATGCCTGGGTTGTTCCCCCCTTGCCGCCCCAGAGACACCCCGCCGCCAACACTATGAGTCTCCTCACCATCGCACTTCAAGGTGCAAGTGAGCAATTGCCGCACAGCTGTGAGCCATGAGACCCAACACCAAATTCCATGGTCCAGATTTATCCCTTCATGGCTGTTACATTAATGGTTGTTCTCTACCCTGTTCATCCCATGGGAGGTCATGCCTGGACAGAGGGTCCTTCACAACACCAGCCTGTCTGTTCATGACCACAGGACACATACTGACACTGTATCTCCCAGGTTATCAGAGTCCAGCATGCTGGGAAAGCCACATCTTCTGACAACCCCCACGCACACACCAGCTGCTCCTGCCTGTGACTGACAATGTTTGTTCATTAACATATGCTCAGAAATCTCTATGAGGCTTCTACACGCCTTTTTAAGATCGTCAGGTCTTGCACATTGAGATCTTAATGCACCCTCACAAGCAGTTCTTGTGATCCTCACAAGTCCTTCAGTCACTCTCACAGAAACCCTATAGCACTGCTGCGTACCACTTGATTGAGGAAACTGAGGCATGTCACCAGAAGCCACTTCCTTGGAGTTGTAAGGGAGCTGACAGCAAAAGAGAGAAGAATTGCTACTCCTTGGTCTAATCAACCTTCCCGCACAAGGAAGAGAGCTCAAAGAGGTTGGCCCAATGCCCAAGCACCCTTGCATCCTCTCTTTTCAGTTTACAATTCTGAAAGCATTTTGCGAGCAAATTTCATTTCGTGCTTAATACAAAGACCAGATCATTTTGTTGCAGCTGAAGAATGAAGTGTCTTCTCCCTGAATTATAGGATGCCTTTTATATTGGTAGGCTGTATCTCCAGGATACTTACAAGTCAATCTGTTTGTTTACAATTTAAAATAAATTGCCCTTTAAATATCTGGCAGCTGATGTGACCCCATTGTTGTGCCAGAAGAAGGTTTGCAGCATAGTTGCTAACACCCGTTTCCAGAAAGAACAAGGACAAGCTGTTCTTGTGTGTCCTTAGCCGCTGGTCACGGTAACAAAAATGCCACCTGTCCTTCAGAAGCTGACACCACGAATACCAGTAAGGACTAATTACATCGGTAAGGGGAGATTGTTCAGGGCATTAACAGTGACGCCTGATGCATTTCCCCTCTTTTACATATTTGTGTTTCTTTGTTTCCTATGCTGATCTCCAATTCCCTCTCCCTCCATGCCAGATGAACTGTGTTTGGCCTCTATTCCCAGGACACTGCCTATGGAAAGCTCCTCTGAGGCACCTCTCTCACCTGTCCGCTGCCAAAAAAGTGAGAGGCAGAAATCAGGAATGAACAGCCCCACACAGCCATTGCTAATCCTGCGGTCTCCAAAGTATGATGAAGCCTCTTGCCAGATCACTGTGCAAGTCACAGGCCAGTTTCAGTGGCTAACATCAACCCAAATTACTCGGAATCCAGGGCAAGACCTCTAAGGGTTCAGGACCCACTACTGGAGCTAGATTTTTGAAGGGACCTACATTCAGCACACCGAGAAATTCAGGAAACATGACCACATCTGTTGCATCTGTATAGTGGTGCACTTATGAATGAGGACAAGGCTGAGCAACAGGTAGTGAGAAATAAAGCAGCAAATCCTGCTCCCTCCAGCCAAACTCTCTCTTTCTCCACTGCTGCTGGGCTTTAAACACAGAGACAGGCGTGACATCCAGAAGATAACTGAGCCCGCTGCGTCTGAGTTACCTGGGACAGACAAAAAGGCTGCTGGGCACGGGGAAAGCCAGCAAGAAAGGGAAAAGAAAATGGTTTCCTGGAGGTGGTGTGTGTGAGATCTCCCTCCCATCACTACAAAGGAAATGCACACACAGCTAACCCTCCCTTCCACAGAATTGGAAACCAGTCTCTTGAAAAAGGGACTTGAAACTGAAATGCAACTTTCAAGCTCATCTTGTATTTGGTGGGTCTGTCTTTGAGGCACTCACCTAAAAAACCCGATCCCTGCATTCGGTGTCTCAGCTGCCTGGGCTGTTCCTTTACTTACTCCAAGGGGATTGCTCAGTGTCTTGTCACCAGTTCAGGCTGCTTCCTCCAGGTGTCTATCCAGCTTACTCCAGCCCCACAAGCAGCAGTGATATGTACCTTCGGGCTGCAAAAGAACACAGGAAAACAGATTGCTGTGACAACAGGGATGTCAGAGAAGGTAAAAATACCTCCTCACCAATCATGCCGGAAAGTTGGTAACATAAAATCCCAGTGGTCATCTGGCTTTTAAACCTGTAAAAACTCAGCCATTTCACAACATTGACAGCGTCCCGCAGCCAGGCCTAAGGTCCTGCTCTGAAGTGAGAGCGGCGAGTTAGCACCAAAGAGGTTCTTCCGCTCGGCAACGCTGGAGTAGGAGGAAGGAATAAGAAGTCCCTTGTGCATCTAATACCCAGGATTATTCTCATGGAGTATTTCTTTGGATCAGTCCAGCTGATGCAGGCCACGGTCTAGCTGAGTGTGGGGGGAATGCAGCCGTAGCAGGGTCACAATTTTACACATTACAGCAACGGGGTGAGAAAACGCTTTTACGTCAGTAATTGCCAGACCTGGGTGCACGGAGCAGTGCGGGACATTTTAAAGGCTGGCAGTCTCCGCAGTCTATACCTTCTACAAACCCTAAACCAAGCAGTCTCAATCAGTTTACTCCTTTCTAAAAAGTTAAAACTATCTACGCGAGACAGACATTCCCCTCTGATTTACACATATTTCTGGCTGAATATATCTCACCTCAGCCTTCTCATTTTTTTTTCATCAAAGAAGCAAACTCTGTCAGGACTGGAAACACCCCTCCCATGGCTCCCCACGGCATTCATTGCAGACAGGTTCCTGCCACCGAGGTGGGATGGGGCTCCAGTGCTGCACGGAGCGGCCCCATCACTAGACAGAGAGATGGCCCAGAAAGGCCTCCCCCTGCCCGGGCCCATCCCAGGCGAGGCACAGCTGCTCCAGACACCAGCCGGAAGGTTTCAAGAAGTTAAACCAGAGGTTTGGGTCTCTTTTTTTCCCCTTCCATCAATTGATGCTTTTTACCCAAAGAGAATTAGACCCTGACTTTATCCAGCGCCATAGACACAGAGCTCAGGTAAATCAGCAAAATGCCGGAGTGAGCAGAGAAGCGATTCAACCCTCCCAGCTGCAGAGCAGAGCTTCCCAGGGAGCTGCCAAAGGAGCAGGGCCAAGGCCAAGGTTATTTCCACACCTGCAGTTAAGGGTGTGGCCACAGAAAATGGGGCAAAACCGAGATACTTCTAGAGCCAGATCTCAGAAATGCCCAAAGAGGGCAAACGCAAGACCCCACGGCCTTGGAAAGGCCCAACATTCTTCTTGGCACAATGATGGAGCAAAAATGAGTCACTGGTTTCTGGAACAAGAGATTGATTGCAGACCCACGGCCTTCGAGCCTAGAGGATCACGAATATCATTTATAACCATACATCAGCCAAAAATCATAACCAAGGGCACCGCTGTAGCCCGGATTTTCCCCTTTGATGGTCAGACCTTTGGTGTGAACGGCGCAAGGCCAGCTGAGGGGCACAGGCCAGCTGAGGGGAGCCGGTCCGGCAGGCAGAGCCCGCTGCTCTGAGGGAGAACGGGGCTCTCTTGGGGCTGAGCCCCAGGACGGGGCGGCCTGGCCTGCCCGACGAGAGGG